TATATATATATATATATATATATATATATATATATAGGGATTGTCTACAAAAAGGCCATTTATATTTTATACATGGAGGTCACAATTATTCTTGTTCCTTAAATTTCGAAATGGGAGGTTGTAGGAGTGTCATTAAATAGACACAAAGTTTCAAAAAAAATTCTTGGACTTCGTGACTCACCCCAAGCCATCCAATTAGATATCTAATGAGTGGGAATGATTGTGACCTCCATGTACAAAAGATAAATGGTCACTTTGTAGATAATCCCATATATATATATATATATATATTCTATGAGTACACCTAGGAAACTCTTAGACACCAGATCTCATGGGCTTCCGAGTTGGGGAACTTTGGGCAAGGGATGATCCTTGGCTCCCGCTTCCAACAATTGTGGCCTTGAACTATTGGATTTGGAGGATGTTAAGGTTGAAAAGCCCTTAAACATTTCAATAACTTGCTTTAATGGGCTCTTTAATTTTTTATCAACAGCTATATTCTGGTAGGATAAACTTATAAACTTGATATGGTGACGATCCTTTACCTGCGCACTGAAACTTGGTTATTTAAAGAGGAAGGATTTTACTGATTATCTATGAATGTCAAATTCAGATTTCAGTCCAACTTATATTTTTAGTGACTTGGACATATTATATAGCTAATTATCTGCTAATTCAGTGCCTTTCCGGAATAGAGAGCGGATAACATTTGATCATTTGGTCTCCATGAAAAAAGCGAATGAAACCGCAAATATAAGGGTGTTAAGAGATGGTCAAGAGCTTGAACTCAGTGTTGTAGTTCATCCTGTGAGTCCACTTCTTGAACTCCATCTTGTAGTTTGTTTGAAATTCTGCCTCTAGATATACTCTCTCTCTCTCTCTCAACTGAAGCCTTTGGGGATTTGCAGTTAAAAGCATTAGTTCCAGTTCATGAGTACGAGAAGTTGCCCAGCTACTATATATTTGCTGGCTTGGTCTTTGTTCCATTGACCCAGCCTTATCTTCATGAGTATGGCGAAGACTGGTATAATACATCTCCTCGCCGTTTGTGTGAGCGTGCATTGCGAGAATTGCCCGAAAAGGTTGGCGAACAGCTTGTAATCCTCTCTCAGGTATGGTTCACTAACGGTATTGAGAATGAATGCTGAAATTTCGTGATTTGGCCTAACGAGTGTTTAAAAACTTGATGAGACAACTCAGGACTCGCCCATGTTAACTTGGCTGAGGACCCTGGTGAGTTCCATGGAAATTTCTTGGATGAGAGTCATAAAATTTCAGCCCTTACAAGGCTTGTTAGCCATAGAATAGGCCAAGACTCATTGAGACTCGGCCTAGACAACCCGCCTGACTTGGGCTCAAGACCCTAGTGAGTTCGAGTCCAGCTCCAGGTCTGGGTTTTAAAACGTTGGGCCTGACCCATATTTAGTTGAGAGAGAAAGAGAGGGAGAGAGACTGTTTAACATAACAATTTTTTTGGAATGTATGTGGTTATTCTTGTCACTTAACGAATTTTGATAAAACCTAAAAAGAATGACTTCAAAAATCTTTCAGGTTTTGATGGATGAAATCAATGTGGGTTACGAGCGGCTTGCAGAGCTACAGGTACTACAAAGCTTTTTTACTATCTCTCCCCTTATCTATATGTATATATTTGGAATGCTAACTTGTGACCTAGTGAGAATGGAGCTCTAGACATAACTTGCAGAATTACATGTACTCAGTCACTCTCCCCCCTTTTATATTTTTCTCTAATTATCAGTTATTTAAAAGCCATATGCTTCTCCATTATGGATTTTCTTTTGAAGGATATAAAGGCCCATTTATGAAACTTGTTTTTCTTTTTTCATTTGGAATTGTGTACAATTAGACCGTTTACTTTTAATACCTTTGATATAAGGAGGTCACAATTACTTATACCCATCCGATGTAAAATTTGATCGTTTGGATATGTCACGAAGTTTGAGAAATTTTCTTTTGAACTTTGAGTTTGGTCAATGCAATAAATGTAGCCACCCAATTTCACATCCAATGGTCAAGATTAATTGTGACCACTTTGTACCAAAGATAAATGGTCTCTTTGTATACTTTTCCTTTTCATTCACATATGTCAAGAAACTATTGTCTAAATTTTGTTAATCGAAGAAATAAGTCTCATTCTCTTTTCCTTTTTGTATCAGGAATGAATAAAGTAATGAAAAAGACTAGTAATCTCTCTCCCTCTCTGACTGTCTGTCTGGTGCGACAGGTGAAAAAGGTAAATGGTGTGGAGATCGATAATCTAAAGCATCTGTGTGAGCTTGTTGAAGACTGTAAAGAGGAGAGCCTACGGTTCGATCTTGACGATGAAAGGGTCGTGGTTTTGAATTATAATAAGGCCAAGCTCGCCACCTCTCGCATACTCAAGCGCCACCGGATACCTTCAGCCATGTCCACCGACCTTCTTGACTCCGGAGTGATCAAAGAAGAGCAAGAAGCTGCTGAGGCCTGATGCAATAAGTCGTTCCTCTCTCTCTCTCTCTCTCTCTCAGCATGAGCCCAAGAGAAAGAAGCTTCAAATGTATGCTCACTCTGATATCAGAGTGGCCATAATCATAAAGGTTCTTCACCACCACCGTCTTCTCTCTCTCTCTCTCTATTGTACCAGTATCATCGATGTTCAATTAAATTTTATTAAAATTTCTATTTTTGACCTGGGTGATGTGGTCCTTGAAAATCTAACACAGTGATGAATTAATGTATCTAAATTTATTAACATACTTGAAATAACTGATTTTATTGACTTTGTATAGCCTAGAAACCGCATTTCAATATGATCTTTTTTCGCCGGGGCGATAAATATGTGTAGTTTTTATTGTATTTTTCAAAATTTCTTTTACTAAGTTCGTGGTTTGACAACTGGAAGCTAGAAGGTAGAAAGTGGGGAAGTTCGAATCGGAGGCTGGAAGATTTGTGTTTGGATCTATAAAATACTGTCTTATAACTTGTTTGGAATTCTAAGAGTGTAACTGTAGCCCTATGTTTAATAAGCTATGAAAATATGGTGTATGTCAATTTTGAGAGCATGAATAAGTATTTAATTTTTTATTCTATGCATTAGATTCAGCTAAAATATTGATTATCAATCCTTCTCACACATGCACCTATAAAAAAATATATTAAAAATAAATAAAAATAAAATGATCAAAACACCATTGAAATGTTAGGGGCATTTGATCTTTTTTTTTTTTGAATTATTTTTTGTATTCTTTTATAAATGCTCCCCCAGTAACGTAAACTCGTGCCCAAAGTTTTTGTCTTGAGTTGATTTGTAAATAAAAATAAAAATAAAAATAAAGGTTTTCTTCCTTTCTTTACTTGAAGCAGGACTTTCCCTTTTCCATTTCTATTTGCACAGAAAGAAAAAAGAAAAAAAAAAGAAAAAAAAGTTTTTGTTTATTACATTCTATTTTACTTCCTTGTTGCCTTTTTTTTATTGCTCCTACTTTTTTGGTCCATCCGGTCCTTCCCCTGAATTGCGCCTTGCTTGAGCCCATGTTAGTCGAGCCGCACTGCACGTACACAGATCGTGCTCGTGCTTTATATTTGCTTTTTTGTGCTTATTCTTTGTGCACCTGATTGTTGGATACACATTGTCACGTGCACGGGTGTGTATTACACACAAATCACACACTAGAGGGTACAAAAGAATAACTTTTTTCAAAATAGTTTTCTGGAATGGTCAGCTAGTTCCTAGTGGAAGGGCAGCTGGAAGAGCGAGCCCCCAACAGGAGCGCACCATCTGTATAAACCTTGCCTTTAAGAGCACCCCAAAATACAGGGACTCGGACAACAGGTGGCTGTACCCATAGAGACGTAACTAGTCTGTTAAATGAGTTGCCACCAAGATGAGAGTTGTTGTTGGACTGTGGACACTCACTCAGGGTGTTGCCAGGTTGGGTTGGTGCTCGCCCTTGGCAAGCATCCTGTTCGACTTTTTTGTCGAAGCTACATATGGATTCTACTGGCCGGTGAAGTTTAGGCATCAATCAACCAAACCGTCAAAATCAAAACCAAAACCAAATCCAAACCTCATGTAAAGCCAACAAGGTGTACAAAATCAACCTAGAGGTACAAATGGGAATGGGCCGTTTAATCGGTAAGAGACTAAGGAATTTCACTGCACTCAAACAACCTATAGTGGAAGCCCTTCAACTTCAATTGTATGAGAAGCTATTGGTATTCCCCATGCCAAGAGAGCTCCCACATGAAGTCAAAGACAAATCCAAATGATGTGATTGGCACCAAAATCACAGCCACAATACTGAAGAATGTGTTTCATTATGACACTAAGTCCAAAATCTGATTGATAGAGGTACAATAGATGTACTGAAACCATAAAAATGAGGAGCCCATTAAGGTGGTTAACCAAAAGATGGGGATTTATTCCAACCCATTGTCGAACAATGACTCATAATTTAGCAACAAACCTACCATGACAACCCTTGCAACAATTGGTGACAGCAAGGGAAAGCCACAGTCATGACAGTCCTTAAAGGACTAGGGGCATGGGATCCGAGTTCGTTCATCTTCCAAGTGAAACATTGGCCGGGCCAACTTTCAAAGCACCACCAAAAGAAGCACATTATGAACCAATTCTCAAAGAATAAATTGTTAATATTTCCTCTAAAATTTGTTAATATTTCCTCTAACATGGACACTGATGAAGAAAAGGTTCAACAGGAGGCCATTGAAGTGGACATGATCTACATAAAGTGTGATAGGCTTGCTCAACCGACCATTCAACTAGAAGCCCCCAGAAAGGTAGTCACTTTGACTAAAGCCACTCCCTATGTAGTCCTGGCCAATGGAACCATAAGCTGTTTGACTAGAAAGGGACGTCATTTCAAACCTACTCACCTTAGAGCCGACTAGGGAACCTGGTTTAAGTGCCCAAGCCTACCATAGATATCCATGGCCCTCCAACACAACCAATCTTGAGGGTAGAGACTATTCCTCAAAGTTTCAAAAAACGCTAAGCAGCCGGCTTGGCTCCCAGCGCCCAGGCGGACGATATATATATAATATACAAATATTTGTGTCAATTTTACAATTTATTGCATTTAAAAATATTGTATTATTGTAACATATTTTTTTTATATACAAACATATGACATATCGCAAGTTGAGAATAAACTTGTTCAAAATTTCAAAATTCAAACCATACAAAATTTAGAAGTCTAATAGGATATGTATTAGAAATAGCCTCCAACTCTCCATGTTCCATAATAAGTGAAAAAGTTTAGGAAGCATTTTAAAACCACAAAAAATACTTTTGATCCTCAAAAATAGGTATAGCTAAGACATTGAGGGTTTATGGAATTGTTATTTTAATTAGGCACCCGCCTAGCCCACTTGGGCACTTGCCTAGGTGCCCACCTAGCCTGCTTGGGTGCTTGCCCAAGTACATCCGCTCGTGTACGGTCGCCTGGATCTGTGCGTGTGGTATTTTGGTCTAGGCCGCCTAAACACTGGGAAGACCGTTTTTTAAAACATTATTATTCCTAGGATTCCACCATGTAACACAACTAGCATTGATCTCCTGACACCTTTAGAAAAGATCCCAGCATCCATATCTATCTTAGATCTGCTTAGGAATTCTCCAACCCATTGGCGGCAAATTGAAATAGTGCTTAGAAAAACACACGTTTCTCTCGACACAAGACTAGAAGAACTTAGCGGGATGATTGGTCAATTAATGGCTCCCACGCCGATCACCTTCTATGATGATGACATCCTGCAGGGGTTTAACCGATTGCATAACCAACCCCTCTATATTACTGTTTACATTACATGCTTCAGGATTCCCCATGTGCTTGTCTACAATGGGGCTACCCTCAATATTTATTCATTAATGACGATCAAGAAATTGGGTATAAGTCCAACTCCTTTTGAGACCTCTCAGCTCACCATCATTGCCTACGATGAGACTAAGAGGCAAGTTGAGGGGATACTGCCGCTCACCATCAAAATAGGGCCACTAGTTCAGGTTGTTAGGTTTTATGTTTCAAACATAAATGCATCCTTCAACCTTCTCCTAGGCCGGCAGTGACTTTACGAGAACCTGGCTATAGCATCAACATTTCACTAATGTCTTAAGTTTCCAACAACCCAAGGGATAATTAAAATAACCTCAGATAACCCATCAATAATGAACATTGTACAAATAGGACGTAATGGGTAGTTGGTGAGAATGAGACCCATGAGGTACCCCTCGTCTCATTCAATGAAGCCCAGTGCGCCATGTGAACCCTTCAACCAGCTATTGAAAAAAGATATGTCGTTTCTATGAGATGAAAAATACCAAGAGGCATTCGACCGGATCAAGCAATACTGGTCGAATCTGCCTATACTAAGTCCACATGTTCCTAACAAACCCCTATTTTTTTATCTCCTAGTAAAATACAAGACCATGGGGGCCATGCTAGGGCAATACGATGACCAAAGGAGATAACGAACCATATAGTATATAAGCAAAACCATGGTTGATTATGAAACACGCTACACAGATGTTGAATAACATTACCTCACACTCGTATGGGTCACTCCAAAGTTAAGGCATTATTTTTTATCACATTCTATTAAAGTGATTTCTAAGGTGGATCCACTTAAGTATATTATAGAAAAACCAATCCTCAATGGACAACTAGACAAATGGAGAATGCTCCTAAGTGAATTTGAAATCCAATATGTCACTCAAGTCAATCAAGGGGCAAGTGATTGTCAGAGCATGAGATAACCGACTACGTACCGGTGAACACCGATTTACCCTATGTAGCCATCTTTGCTTTCGAGGATCCGACTAGGGAACTCTACTTTGACGGTGCAAAACATGAATATGGTGCCGTTATAGGTGGTGTCCTTTGCTCGCCAAAGAGGGTCATGATGCCCACAGCCGTTAGGTGCAATTTCTACTACACTAATAACATTGCAGAATATGAGGCCTTAATAGCTGGTCTCGAGAATGCCATTGAACTCCAAATCGAAAAATTATGAGTCATTGGCTATTCTCTTATAGTGATAAGCCAAGTCCCAAGTTCAAGGGACTTGGAAAGTGAGGGACGAAAAATTGATATTATACCAAGGAAAGGTGGAGAAATTGACTAGTCACTTCAAAGAAATCACTTTCCAACATGTGGCTAGGTCCAACAATAGATTTGCCGACACTCTAACTGCCTTGGCTTCGATAGTTAGCATCCCATCAAAGTAAATATAAAACCATTTTACATCAGGCATAAATACGACCGTTCTCTGCCTAAGCTAGAAGAACTCGACGAAGAAGAAAAAGAAGAAGAAATGGGAGAAGCTTTTGCTTTAAATGCCGAAAGTCTAATGGAAGCAAGACCGTGGTACCACAATGTGCTAGTTCTACTAAGAGAAAGAATACCCAAAAGGAGCCAATAATAAAAAGATTCGCGGTAAACTTTGTCATAACGGACGACCAAGTCTACAAGAAGTCTTTTGATGGGTTTCTCTTACGATGTGTCAATCATCCAGAAATTGATGAAATTCGCAAAGAATCACACAACGAAGGACACCCTAGCGCAGCTGCCCTAGCCCAAAAGATTAGGTGTTAGGGATATTATTTGACTGCAACGACGGAAGATTGTTGAGAACACGTGAAACGATGCCAAAATGTCAAATCCACAGGGCGCACTCCATCCGTGCTTCCAAATTCAACTCCACCTATGTGCTCTTTCGCTAGATGGGCTCTCGATGTGATAGACATGATTTCTCCTAGGGCGTCAAATGGACATAGATTCGTTTCATCCTAACCGCTATCGAGATCAAGCCAGTAAT